CGTAGGCATGATTTTGATCAATTGGTTACAGCATTACAAAGTGGTGAAATATTTTCCGATGAATTAACACGTTTAAGGACATCATTTCGTTCACGGAAAAAATTATCATAATAGATTATTGGAGAAAAAAAAGAAAAAAAAAAAACGAACGATTAGGAAATGAGTGGAAAATAGTTTTAATTAAATGTGAAATAGTGTAATGAAATAATGAAATAAATATGATGAAATTATTCTTTATCGCCAATTTTGTTGATCTTTGACCCGTAATTAATCTATGCTCCTTTTTATGCAAAAAAGAAAAAAATTTGATCGAAATGATAGAATTTAAAAAAATTTAAAAGAACTTATTAATTAAAATAAACTTTAAAAGGTTAAATTTTTTTATCAAAATAAAAAGAAATTATGAAAGAATAAAATGAAATGTTAAATGTTATCGAACTAATACATGACTTAATTGATATATTAGAATGGAATTTTTCTTTTTCTTTTTTTTTTTTATTTATTATTTTGATAACATGAGCTTATTAATTTCATAATATTTGTTAGGTAAATCAATAAATCGAATAACTATTATCACTGATAATGGATAAAATGATCAAATCAGAAAAAAACAAAAAAAAAAAGTGATAAAAAGCTTTAATTGTATATAATGATGATGTATTTGTTGTCTATATTTGTTTATTATAGATATTATATCATTGTTTTTGTATTTTCCTTTTTCCTTTTTTCTCTTTTTATTAATAAAAAGAATAAATTTTTTTCAAAAAAAAAATTTTTGAACTTATTGATACTTATTTGCATAAAACTAAAGCAAATTCACTTAGAATAATATGCAGCTAACAATTTTGGAATGATTAAATTGATTGAAAGTTTTTGAAATAAATGAAAGATAATGATGTCATGTAAATTTGAAATGATATCATATCACTGAAATAATTCAGTAATTAATTTAAGCACTAAAGAAAAATGAAAACAAGGGAAAAAAACGTAAAATTAATCAAACATTGTTTGTTAAAATTAAGTTTGATCCCAGGTTAATAATTTTAATAATTTCGAAAAATTAAAAATTCGGAATATTTTAATGAATTAAAAGAAATGCATGAATTATCCAATTGTTAATTAATTATTAAATGTTACATTATGATTGGAAAAATCTTAGAATATATTTATATGCATATATCGTAATGATTAATTGAAACATAACGATAACAAATTTCAATGTAATAATTACTAGGTAGATTTTGGTTAAGTTAATTAATTAATTAATTAAATAATTTAAATTATATGTGGTATTATCATGCATACAAGGGAGACTATTATCATTCCTGTCATTTTGTCAATCATTATCTAAGCAGTTCTTTTTATGCTATTCTATTAAATAAATAGCTACTTGTTTATCCATTTATGTCATTTCATTTGAATATTTTAATTCAATCGATGTTAATTTTATTTGAATGATTCCATTATGTCATATGTCACATTTTCATGTCATAAAATTAAAAATGAATAATTTATAATGATAAAATGATAAAATAATACATTTGTAAACAATGTATACATTTGTTTCCTTTTTCTTTTTTCGTTTTTTTTTTTTAATTCAAAAAGTTGTATTAATAAATGTTTGTTAAAAAGCAAAGATCAATATGATAGAAATACAAACAATCATAAAGCTAACAATTTTTCCCTTTCCTTTTTTTTTTCATTTCTTTCTTTTTTTTTATTTTTGAATATAATCATATAAATTTTAATTTAATTCATTTATAGGCATATATATGAAAATTTTAATTTTTCAAATTTATTTAAATTATACTTTTTGAATTGATAAAAGTGCAAAAGATTTAATATGCTAAATTAGAATTTGTTTTAATATTTCATTTGATAAAAGATAATGATAAATAGCAAAAATTGGATTCAAAAGGTTTATTGTCTAATTGAAAATATTATCAAATTCTTGAAGTATTATTATTTCAATGAATTAAAATTAAAATCATTAATAATAAAGTAAGTTTTTAATTACAATATAATTTCCAATTGATTTGTTTTGTAAGTTTTGACTGATTCATTGCTATTTGATTTAATAAATTTTATTGGTTAAAAATTGTTATGTATACTTCTCAGTGATGCAATTTTAGCCTCAAAATTATCAATAATCATTTCATTCGTTAATTCCTTTCTTTTCTCTTTTTTTTTTTCATTTTCATCATTTAATAATAGATTAGATATTTTGAAACAATTCAAACTTATATTATTTTCTTTGTTTATCATTTCCAATTAGTCCATTATTCCGATAATTTTTAATAATTTTTGCTTCACTAAATTCATTAATTCACCTTTTTTCTCAATCCTACTACTTCATACATTCTTTTTTTCTTTTCGATTGACAACCTTTTTTGATAATTTTTCAATGATATAATTATGATATATGTATATTGTGAATGATTAAAATAATTAAAATTGAGTAATTGAAATAAAACGAATGCTGTTAATTTATTCATTTATTAATTATAGCTAATTTTTTTTTGTGTAATTAATAAGGCTTCTTTTGTAATAAATTTACACATATACTTGTACATTGCTATCAGAAAGGAAAAGGAAAATTGAACTTATAGTTGTAATAGGAAATTTTAACACTGTTTTTTTTTTATAATTGAATTTTTAGTGTATTCTAGTTTTTTTCTTTTTTTTTAACTTTTACGTAATTACTTCTACCTATCGTAATTTGAAAGTACTGGTATATGTCATGTCACATCAATATCGAGAAATAACAACTTTTTTTTTTTTCCTACCTACTATATTCATTTATTCTTGTGGAAATTATAAAAAGCCAAATCAATTTCTTTAATGCATTAGAATTGATGTAATTTAAAAATATATATATATTGGAAATGTGAAATATAACTTTCCACTACACTTACATTTAATCATTTGTCATTAAATGCTAATTAAGCTAATTAATGTAAATGAATGAAAAGTACTGAAGGATAAGGATGCTAGAAATTTAGAATTTTTTTTCTATTATAAATTAAAAATGAACAAAATTAATAGCAAAATTCTTTCTATTTGAGAAAGAAAAAGATGCATTTTATATTTTTTTAACTTTAAAATTACAATTCATTTTTTTGTTGAATGTTTGAAAATTTTCAATTTTGATTTGAATTTTGATTTTTTTCCTAAAAAATTATTAATTCATTTTTTTCAAACAAAAGTTATTCTTTGCGTTTTTTTAATTATTTTTAGAAATTACCAAAACTAATAGCAAATTCCTTCTATTCCAAAAAAAAAAAAAAATTTAGTATTTTTTTAACTATTGTTTTTTAAAATATTTGAAAATTTTCAATTTCGATTTTTTCCTAAAAATTATTAATTCAATTCTTTTTTTAAATAAAAATTATTTTTTGTCTTTTTTCTATTGTTTTTTAGCTGAATTCTTGATATATTTAGGAAAAAAAAACTCATCTAAAATTAATACAATCTATTGATATTTTTCCCATCATCAAATATCCAATTGGTTTCAAATTCATAATCCTTTCGAATAATTTACCCTTTTTTTCCCCTCCCATTTTTTTTTCATCTTATTTTAACAATCATTTTATTATTACCTTTTTATTTTCATTAAATTCATCCCTCTTTCATTCCAGTTCAATTGTTACCTTTTATATTGCAACATTCATTACTATTATTCAATTTTAATGCTCCATAATTTTTTTTTCTTTTATCACCATCATTCTTATCATTTTGTATTATCAATTATCATTCAATGAATGGCATTTATTTTATTACATTTACAATATTTCTGGATATTTTTTACATTTTGTTAACATGCTAATTGTAATATACCATTAATATATTTTATCATTATTATCTTTATCATTCATCCTTGTTTATCAGTGATGATTAATGGATATAAAATTTATCATATTAGCGAATAATTTGTATAAAATTTCAATTTTTCTTATCAGTTTTACATAAAACATTCAACATTTATGAATATTTTTATCAGAAATATTTGTTGTTGATTACATATGTTTACAATTATCATCAATAATTGCAATTTTCACATGATATTGACTGATATGAAATTTGTTTAAAATTTCCTGTCTAAAATTTTCAAAACAAGATTTCTGTATTTTGATAAGATACCATTCATTTTTCATCTGTCTTTTTCACCTAAAATTATTGTTATTTAAATAATCTTTAAAATATCATTTCATTGATTTATTCCTATGAACAAAATCAATGATCATTGTAATATAAGATAGTGTAAATTTTATTGATGAAAGAAATATTTTAAAATTTTTATCAAACAGTATATTTTGTTTACGAAAGAAATGTACTAATTTTGAACTTTTCTTAACTAATATTTTATTTGAAACTTAAAAACTTTCACATTTTTTGTTGATTGTAAAAGATGAATTAGAAAGGTGGCATAATTAAAATACCGTTAATCTATCCTATCATTAATTTTTACTCTATATTTGTCAAAACTATTAAAAAATAATCACACCTTTTTTTTTTTTTTAGCAATTATGAATTTTTTTCACCAGCGGGGATATAATAGCAACCGAAAAACATGCCATTTTAAAATTGTTTTGAAATTTCAATTCCTTTAATCTATTTATGTTTTAATTAATTAATGAATTCTCGTCATACTGAATTATTTTGAATGAATCATCATCTGTAAATTACTTAGTCAGTAGTTTACTTTGAGCATTTCCCATCCTATTGTATATGCTAGAGATCTGTCATTTATTGATTAGTCATTTCAATTTGAAATTTGAATTTCGGCTATTCTCTAAATACATGTAATCAGTGTATCTGAGAATAATCTACGATTCCTCCTCGTTACTCTTATTAAATATATTCAAGAATAATTGATAATTCCTAATATCGTTTATCAGCTCATATTCTAGAAAAAATTGTTGATCAGATCAATGATATTTGAAAATAAGGCGGGACATTTAACCATATTCATTTATTTCTGTTCAATTAAATTATCAATTTTCGAATTTGTCAACTCTCTTGAAAAAAAAAAATAATCATTGAATCAGTGAATGAAATATTCATTTATCTTTTTCTTTAATGGAATTCAGGTTTACCATATTTCATATTTCCACATTTTTAACATTACATACATTTCTGTTATCTCTTGTTGTACGGTTTTCTTTTTTTTTTTCGTTTTTAAACTTTCAATATGAAACAATATGAAAGCTTACATGCATTCAAACCATAAATCAACCTTTTAAAATATTAAAAAAAAAAAACGAAAGAAGTATTTGATTTTTTTCTTGTCGAAAATTTTAACAGTATCTTTGTTTTTTTTTAAAGGTATTTTAACGAAACGAACAAAATGACATTGGTACAATTATTTGATTCAACAACTGATACACAACATCCGGCTAACGAAAAATTACCAACAAAAACGTTAATGATAAACAGGCATGATAAAATTTCCATTATCATCCATTGATTTAAAATGATTATTTATGATATACAAAGATTTATTAATCTTTTTGTAATAAAAAGAAACAAAAAAAAAGTTATGAAATATGATAGTGCACTAAAATACTGTAAGATAGGATACTGTATGGTATGGAATACGATAATATGACTCAGCATACTGTAGCATATGGTATTATATGATATGGAATGCGATAATATGATTGAATTTTCGATGGAAATTTAACAGTTTGATTTCTAAACTTATGAAATAATTTTTCCGCAGACAAATGACATATGATAATGATGCTACAGTGAAAATTGTTTCAAATAAACATTGAAGTATAAATACGATATATATCAGTTAAAGGTGTGGTAAATTCTACAGTAACGATATGTTAATTATATGTTTAACTAATTCTACAATAATGACGCATTAGTTATACGCTGTATTAATTCTACAGCAATAATATTAGGGTGAATAGTTCGCAAGCAAAATGTCAAATAAATTTTAAAATATCAACTTATCTTTCACTTTCATTTTGTTTGATATCTTAACGAGCATATAATTACGGTGCAAAAATTGATATCTAATAGATTTTTTAATTATTTATTTATTTTATGCGAAAAAAAACTCTATTTATGTTTCAATTTGATTTTAAAATTTAAATTTAGTACCATTTCGTGTTTAATACATTTGAACTATTTCCATACATTTTAATTTTATATCAATCATATAATTTTAAAATGATAGATTTATTGGTATCAGTTCGCATTCCTTCATCCATTTCATCCAGTATTATTCAAGAAATCAAACATTCATTTTTCAGCAATAAACGATCAAACATTTCCATTTCTATTTTTCTATTTCAAATATTTTCTCATTCTTATAGTATTTTTTATTCCTATATTTTCATTCTAGATGCATCCTTATTCATAAAATTTTCTCAAAATATTTTCATTTCAAATTATTTCAATAATATTTCTAATTCTCATTTGTCAATAATAATAATAAT